GAAAATATGTGTGAAAACTAACAGTCACTAATGCTGCAAAAGCAGATCGTAGCTGCTGATAGCCGCAGCCTGGGGAAAAACACCACAGGAACCCAAGGCTGGGTCATGGGGGGATTCGGGGTGGTGCAGCAGAGCCCCCCACATCCCAGTGATGCTGATCCCTGTTGCCCATCGCTGCCTCCCCAAATCCTGCCAGCACTGCCCAGCCCTGGGTCTTGTCCCTGGAGAAGATCCAGAGAGCCCAGCACGTCCCTAGTGTGATTTTTTTTATTATTTTTGACCCCAGCTCCTAGATGCAGAGGATTTTATGAGCATCTTACTTGTTCTTTTGGTATTTCTTCTTTTTTTTCCACCATTAAATGCTGCTTCTTGCCTTTTGGGTTGCTGGGAAATTGTGAGGCATGTGTAGCCTGCAGAAATCAGGGTGCAGATAAGGAGGCAGACAGTGCTTCGGGTTTATCTTAGTTTTAAACTCTGGGTTTTCAAAGGCCAAGTTTGGGGAGCGGGGCGGGTGGGGAGAAGAGATCACTCAACTCGAGCAGCCCAGCCCTGATCGTAATCTCAAGCAGAGGAGTTTGGTGTGAAATCAGCTTTTCAGCCAGGGCCGTCCCTGTGCGGAGGCAGCCAGGATGCTGGGGGCCAAAGGACACGGGAAATGAGTCAGGCAGCACACGGCGGGGCACACCGGGGACGGGGGAGAGTTCAGCCTGGGACAGCTGGGAGAGGACGAAACACCAAGGAACGAGCTGCCAGAACAGCACAACGTGGGTACCGCAAAGCCCCTTGCCCCGGGTGATGGGGAGAGGGACCGTCATCCCGGAGGAAAGCTTTTTGTCTTTGGAATCAGCTCTGCCACAGGTGCCCTGAGCCCCCCACCCACAGCTTTGGGTTGAAAACCTTTCCCTTTGGGACTGCTTTCCCCATTATGGGGACATAGGGTGACCCACATCCCACTGTTTGGCACTGGCAGCCGGGAAAGGCGGGGGGGCTGCCCCGGCACAGCCGCCAGCCAGGAGCAGAGCACAGACTCCAGAATCAAGAGAGGGTTCCAAAACCCCAGAGATCTACATGAAAGCCACACGATGCCATTCGTTTCTCTGGATTCCCAGTTCCCACAGCCGGGGAGCATCGCCACCAGCCTTTCCCCATGCCCAGGTTAGGCAGGCGAGAGCGAGACGGGCTGGTCGGAGCGTGGTGTTGCAGCTGCAGCTTCTTCCAGCAACGCCTGCGGTGTGTTCACCATTGCTCCCACATGATTAACGTGTCTGAAATCAGGGCTTGGCCATGACTTTCCTTGTGAAATCTCCCCTGGACAAGGATGGTGGCATCTGTTCCATCTTATTTCTAAGTGAGTGCATCTTCCAACAGCAGGAGATGGGCCCATCCCCTCGGTACTGGGCGATGTCCGCGCGGCCACACACCCACTCCCATCCCAGTGAGCATCTGCAGGGTGAGATGCAGATCTCCTCTGGGTTTTCCAGCCTTGGATAAAAAAAAAAACCCTGCTGCTTTTGGGGGAAGGTGGTGGCACCTGGGCAGGAGCCAGCCACGCTCCGCAGGGATGTGGGTGGCAGCCAGGGGATGACTATGAGCCACCTCTTTCTGGGGACAGGCGAGGGTGGACGCATCTCAATATAAACCATCTCTGCAAGCACCTGGGGAAGTCCCGGGTGGCCGGGGCTGGGCAAGGACCTTAAAAAAGGAAACAAGCACGCACAGGCTGTGCATTTAGTGGTTATGTCGCCATCAGCCCCAGCCAGGTAATGGAAAAGCTGATCCTACCGAGACAGAGATTTAAAAGGGAGAAGAATAAATCAAACAAATCCTTTATAGAAAACAGATCTGACCTGAGAAAGCTGCTTTGATCACATTCATGACTTTGGCTGCCCCAGCTGCAGCAGCCGTCCCGTCCCGCGGGCGCTGCACTTAGATCTTCCTCCCCCGGGGTTATCGATCAGCTGAAACGAGAAGTGCCGCAGCATCAATAAAGCATCTGCATACATGGCTGGAAAAGCAACTCTCACCCAGGGGCTAGCGGCATTTCCAAGGGGGGGCTGTGCCACCGAGCCGGCATCCCGGTGTGGCCGGCAGCTCTCTCTGGCAGCCCCAGCAATGCAGCACTCGCTCCGTGAGACGAGGCTGGGGCTGGTTCTGAGCACGGAAGGTGATGAAGCACCCACAGGCTCCCAGCGGAGGCGGTGGTTTCCTCAGGAACTGCTTGCGCTTTCTGTTCAAGGATGCAGAGAAGCCTTGGGGACCGATGCCCGCGTGGGTCAGCCGTGGGGTGGCCAGGGCCACAGCATCCACTGCTGTCCCCCCAGGGGCCGGTGGGATCGGGGAATCCTCATCCTGCCCAGCAGTGGAAGATTTGGAGCCCCTGCAAATTTATTGGAGGGGACAATGAGAGCTCAGCCCCCAGCAGGGTCCCATATGCCTCTGCCAGCCCCCAGATTTGCCACCTTCCCCTGCGCTTCTTGGCAGCAGGAGCAGGATCCGTCCCATATGTTTTGCAGACGCCGACACCTCCCACTCCTCCCACTCCCCCAGCCCTTCTCCAGCCCCCAGTACTCCCACCATGCCAGGGGTGGCAGGAGGGATTGGGGGATGAGGCAAGATTTCCTTGGGTCCCCCACCTGTATCCCCCATATTTCTCGGTGGGATTTTCCCACTCATGGGATTTCCCAGCAAGGGAGGGTGATAAAAGGTGGGGCCGGCAGAACCCCAGGACCCCACGCCATGGCTCTGGGAGAGGTGTCAGGCAGAGATGGAGGCTGGTGGCCTGTTGCCAGCAGCTCTGCTCCTCACCACACTCTGCAGCCAAGCCCAGAGCCGGAGATCTGAGTGCTAGCAAGGACCCCCCACCATGAAACGGGGGAAGAAAGGGAAGAAAAGGGTGTTTTTCAGCCCAGACAGCATGCGGGACTTGGGGATGTGCAGGGCCACCCCAGAGCAGAGACTGGATCTGCTCATCACAGCAGTGGGTCTGCCCATGTACCGTGCCCTTCTCTGCATCAAACGTGGGAGGGCTGATGACCTGTAGGGTGAAGACTAGTTTCTCCTAAATTCATCAAGAGCCACAGGAGCACCTGGTTGTGCCTCTGGCCCCTTTGAGCCCCCATGGACATCCCTGGCTCCGGTGCCAGGTCTGTACAACCCAGTAAAGCCCCGTCCTGGGCTATGTGGGGAGGGGAAGGGGAATATTCCTCCTGAGATACAGGCGAGCCGCAGGGACCTTGGGGTGCTCAGGGGCTGCCAGCTCCAGGGGACCAACCAGGGCTGAAAATCCCCCATGCTCCAAAATACCCCGTCTGCAGGGTCCGCTCGCTCCACGGGGCAGACACCAGTGCCGGGGCTCAGGTTGGAGGGATGCTGCAGGTGTTGGGAACGTCATCCCCGGAATTCCCCAGCCTGATGGATCCCAGTATTTTGCATGGGAGTCTTTAAAAGGGGCCTTTCCCAGTCCAATAACTCTCTTTTGTTTTCCTTGCGCTTCTGTTTCATTTTCTTATTGCAAGGAATATTTTCTACCCTTAGGAGGCTACATTTACCCCGGCCGGGCCAGGAGTTCCTCAGTGCGTGGGGGTAAGAAGGAGGATAAGAGGGAAAGGATGGATCCAGGAAGGGAAAAGCGAGCCAGGCAGCTGCACTGGATTGGGATCAGAGCGATCCGCTTTCCTCCACTCTCCCGAGTCTCCCCAAGGAGAGATTAAATGGGAGTTGGGGTGATGACGGGAAGGTGGTCTGCTCTGCCAGCCAGGCACGGAAACATGACCTCCCCCCTTGTCCGCACCCGCCAGCCCTGGGGCATCACCCAGCCCCGCTCGCTGCGCCCAGCTGTTACCCAGCACGCGCAGCCCAAAAAATTGAGGCTGATTTCTGGGAAATGGCTTTGGAGAAGAGCAAACGGAGGGACACATGCGGTCCCACTGTGGATGTGACCCCAGTTCCCATCGGGGTAGGTCCCTGCCCGGACCAGCACCCCATGCCCTCCCCAGCTGGATCTCCATGGCAGGGCTGCACTGCAGCCCAGGGTGGCCAAAATGCCGACAGGGTGCCATCGGCGTCCCCAGCCCTGCGTGGCAGGACGTGGCTGGCGGGCTGGCGGGGATGCACGTCTGCATCTCCCCACCGCTTCCCACCGTCCGCCAGCTGCAGGCAGCTGGGATGAATCCCGGGATTTGATGGGACCGGGGGGAGAGGGGGCTTTTTGGGCAGCTGTGGCCTGGCAAAATCCACTGGGGAAGCCCCAAACTGGCCCCTGCCTTTCCCAGCTCAGCACGGCCAAGAATGTGAGCTGCTGCTTCAGTGCTGGGGGGGGAGGGAAGCGGAGCCACCTGCCCAGCCTTTCCTGTCCCTGATGGGCCCCAAACACCCCTAAAACTAGCACAGAGCCATGTACGTGCCTGGTACAACCAAACAGAAGCTGTTTATGGCTTTTTTTTAGCGGGGAGGACGTATGCTGCCGCTTGTCCCCTGGGCTGGGATGCAAAGCGATAGGATGCAAAACTTTGGGGTGCAGGGGAAGGACATGGACCGTCGGGATCGTGTGCCGCTGCTGGGGACCCTGCAGGGTGCTGAGCCCTGTCCTGATCCCACCCAAGGGAGATGCCCCGACCCTCTCGCCCGCCCTGGGGCTCCCACCATGGGGCAGACAGCCTGCCCCAGGAATCGGGGTGCAGAGCCAAACTTTGGGAGCAACCACCAGCCCTAATGCTGGAGGCAGGAGCTCAGGAAAACACCCAAGTCCATCAGGGGCCAAAAGCACAGCCCAGGAGCAGGTTTCTCCCTTCCCAGGGCTGTGCTGGGAGGGGATGAGTATTGTTCACCCTCTGTGCTTTGGGACGTGGCAGGGGACCAGGTCCTCCCCCTGCCCCCACGTAACTGCTGGCCCTGGGGGAAGCCAGCCCCGCTTGTCCCCCATAAAAGCAGCCCGGCGGCCCTGACCCCAGCAGACGGCAGCTCTGCCCCGGCACCACCGAGCAGCCCTCCCACAGCCCAGCATGGCGAAGACAGCCGGGGTGGTCTGCGCCCTCCTCCTCCTCGCCGCGCTGTGCTGCCAGAGCCTGGCTCAGAGTGAGCACTGCCACCCGCTACATCCCCACGGGGCTGGGGGACGGGGACAGCCCCCAGGACCGTGGGGTTGGATTTGCTTCCCGCATGGGGTGTAAGGGGGCTCCCCCCAAAGAGCCGCTGTGCCCATGGTGGGAGGGCTGAGATGGGAGGTGGGGGTCTCCAGGCTAAACCAAGCTTGCATTGTCCCCCCAGGAGCCCCGGCCATGCCAGACAAGTGCTGCTTCAAATTCCAGATGAGAAGGATCAAGAGAGACAACATCGTCGCCTGCTACCCCACCAGCCCTGAGTGCCCACACGAGGCTGTGATGTGAGTACCCTAAACCCAGCCCTGGGGATAAAGCCCCTCTAGACCCTGCCAGACCCTGCGCCTTGCTTTGGTGGGTCCAATCCTGATCCTCCGTGCCTCCGAGACCCTCAGAAACTCAGGACTGGTGTCCCCATACCGCCACCCTGGTAAGTCCGTCTTTTCTCTGCCCTAGCTTCAGGGTGAGGAGCGGGAAGGAGATCTGCACCCAGGCAAGCAGGGCCTGGGTGAGGAAGTACCAGCAGAGCTTCCAAGTCAGCTCCTTCTCCATCCCCAGCTAGCGAAGCAGCTGGAAGCAGCATGGGGAGTCCTCTCTGCGGGGAATGAGACACCGCGAAGGTGATGCCTTTGCAGAGGTGGCTGCAGGGACACCACATTTGGATATAGCAGCTCATCGGGGACATCCTCCCCATCACGCTGTGATGACCCTCACCACCTCCCTGAAGGCAAAGGGCCTTTGCCATTCCTGGCATCCCACCGGGATGGGGTGTGCCGACCCCGTGGGGTGCTGGGGTCCAGACCCTCTGCCAGCCCCCATGCTTTCAGCCCTGCTTTGCATGCAGGCAGCTGCCTGTACCCCTCGCAGGCAGCAGCAGCATGCTGGTGAGGCTGCACTCGCCAGCCTGACAGCAGCAGAGGGGTTAAGGGGGAGCAGCTCCGCGGCTATTTTTTGTACGAAACACTGAACGGAATTAAACGTGATCTCACGCATGCAAACATCTGTCTGTGCAAGTGTCTGGGGAGGGGGCGGATCCTGCTGCCAGCTTTCCTGCCCGGGTGTTAAACCACATCTGTGAGCGCTGGGGTCAGTCAGGAGCCGGGAAGAGCCAAAGCCCCAACCATGTCTCTGCGAGGGGGTCCAAGGGGGTGCATGGAGCCAAACCATGTCCATGCAGGCTTTGGGGAAAGCCACCTGTGAGAGGGGCAAAAGACAGGCACAGCCCATGAGGAGGGGGCTTCCCACGCTCCTCGTCAGCCATCCTAATGAGTGGAGACCCCTGGCCCAAATTCAGACAGAGCTGTCCCTTGGGGGTCCCTGGTCAGGCCCCACCGACAGCCCACACTCTGTGGATGTGAGGAGGAGATGTGATGGGCACTGCCATGGTGACCGGCACCATCATGGGCACAGCCACCGCAATGGGCAGCCAGTGATGGGTCTCAGGGTGGGCTGGGGCGAGCCCGACCATCCCCGAGCCACTCACCCCTGTGCAAAATTGCAAGAGAGGCATCGCAGCTGACAATGGGTGGTTTTTGAAAATAAACTCGCCCCGGGCTTTGGCAAGTGTGAGCATCATCCTGTGTGGTTTGCTGGCGGCAACAACCAAACCCAAAATAGACTGCCGGCCCCAGTGCATCACCAGTGGCGCAGAGCTGTCGGCTGCTAGCCACACTTTCCAGCAGCCCTCAGGTACCGCAGGGGCTGGAGGGACCAGGAGAAGGAATTTCCATTCACCACTTGCCCTTTATTAATATCTCTGGGTGGTTCTTTCCCCGGGGAGAGTCCCAAGCTGTCATGGAAAGCCTGGCCAGGGGGTATATCACGCCGAGGTGCAGGCAGGAGAGTCAGGTAGCTCTCGGTGGCCTGGAGTCAGTAAGAGCTGCTGGCTGTTGGCACTGACCAAGACCCGGGTTGGACATGAAGGTCTTCTCCTTGGCCCTGCTCACCCTGCTGCTGGCGGCAATCTGGACTGGAAGCCAGGGTGTCTCCTGTAAGTACTGATGCTGAGCCTTTCCCCATCGCTGCCCCAGCGCCGGCCCCGGCTCCTCTGCTGATGGGGTTTTAGGGGGTCGGGGAGGGGGTCAAGAGCTTCAACTCCCGTTTCTGCTGTGGGTTTGGGGAGCTGAGGGGCATCACCGGGGGGCTGAGGGGCATCACCAGCTGCTCGAGCACAGGGCTGTCCCAGTCCTGTTCCAAAGGAGCAAAAATAGGCTTGGGGATGGCTTCAGCCTCGGTACCCCGGCTGGTGAGCTCAGTAATAACCCCCCACGGGCAGGGAAATGGGGGGCTCCTACCCTGGAGCAAAGCAACACTGCCGGGAATGCACGAGGGGGCCCCTCGTGGTGGGGGGGGAGCAGGAGAGTCCCCACGGGAGCACCTACACCCCTCGGGGCAGCACTCACACCCCTCGTGCCAGGCATAGGAAAGCACCGAGCCCTCTTGCCTCCTCTCAGTCCGCAGTTCCTACAGCATGTGCTGCTACCAGAAGATGTTCTTCCAGAAGAAAATCCCTGCCTTCATCATCAAGAGCTACCAGATGACGCCTCCCCACTGCTCCCGCAAGGCCATGCGGTGAGTACACCTGGCCCCCATCCAGCCTTCCTCCCCGGCACCCCGCTCCTCACCCTCACCCACCCACCTTCCCTGCCAGTTGTTCTGCCTTTGGGGATCCTCCAAAATGAGCCACCCCCAAAAGGTGCCATGGGTGGGGGTGCCCTGCCCTGGCTCTTTGCAGATGCACCCCCCACTCTCCTTGACACTTTATCCCAAATAGCCCCAAAATCCCCCATTTCAGCTGCCAGCCAGAAAAATGGGAAGGAAGCCAAGGTTTCAGAGATTGCTAAAAATCAGCACTTTGGGAGGATGCAGGGGGCAGGATGCTGCAGGCATCCCCAGGCTGGCAGGGGATTCCCAGGGCATGGCTGGATCCCGCACCCCCCAGCTAACACAGCCCCTCTCTCCCCACCAGTGTGGAGCTGCGGAATGGGAGGAAGATCTGCGTGGACCCGGAGGAGAGCTGGTTCCAGCAGTACCAGCAGAAGAAGGAGTTGACCAGCACCTCCACGTGAAGCTGCCTTCCATATAAGCTCTATTTATTTGCATCCCTCAATTATCTGTACGTTCTTGTCTCGTTAAGCTATGGAGCTGGCTCCATTCCCTCCCTCGCCATTGCCCACTTCACACTACTGTACATCCCTCAATGGGTTTTATAAAATATCTCATGCTGACCTACAGCTGGAGTGAGACGATATAAATCCCGCGGGAGAAAAGAGGGGTCACATCAGGGCTCAGCATCGCCGTGGGGACCCAGGAATAGTCCTGGAAGCCCCTGGAAGGGCAGGGAAACCCAAAGGGCTGAGGCTGAACCCCTCAGCTCCCCACCGAGATGAGGCAGCCCCTGCCCAGGCATGGATTTTAAGGGTGCCCTAGACAGCTGCCCGCCCGGTGGGATGCAGATCGAGGCAGGGATAAAGGCAGGAGCAGGCTGGCAATGGGAGAAAGGTTGGGTTTGGGGGATTTTAGGGGGGGTTGGGGGTTAGTTTTGTTTTTTCCCAGATGGATCAAGGGGTTAAACAGGGGTGGCTGCAGAAGGAGATGTGCCTGGAGGTTTAGCACTGTCCTTCAGCCCCGGCCAGACACCGGAGATGGACACCCATGGGGGTGGCCCTGCTCATGCCGGGAGGGCTCCAGTTCCCTGGGAATTACCTCGTCTCATGGGCAAAATCCTCGGGCAGCCTCAAGAGCCTGTCCACCCACTGTGGCAGCAAAGGGGTTGGCAAACGGAGGAAAGTGGGCCAAAACAGGCCTGTCAGTCATGTCAATAATTCCCTTAAAAACAAGAATTTGAAAACGCAGCTGCTTTTGGGCAGGTTTCCAGGGGGGCACAAGGAGGCTGGAGCAGACTTCATCTGCCTGGTTTCCATCAGGACTTTGGCCACAGAGTGTCGGAGCTAACTCCGTATGCCTGCTGTGACCGGTGGAGCAGGGTGAGAAGTGGTATTTGTGGCAGAACTGGGGATAAGTTGGGATTTGACCCGTGGCAGTGGTTTTCTGGGGGTGTCCGTGCCATGGCATCTGAGCTGGGCCAGGCCGTCCGTCTGCAGCCCCTCGACACGGCGATGCTCCGGGGCTGTCGGAAGGCAAATCCGCACCTGGAGCTTGCCGGTGGTGCTTCACGGCCGCCTGCTTGGCATTGCCATCGGGGCTCTGGCCACGAAGCTTCGCGCCCCGGCCTGGCTCGAGGCCGGTGGGGTGCTTGCAGCAGCGGCAGGGGCGGTGTCGTGGGGGCTCGGGGGCTGGCCGGTCCCCGCCGGGCACCCAGATGGAATCTGAAAGTTGCAGCCCCACGGCCGGCACTTCCCCTTCTGCGGTTTCCCTGCCTTCTCCGGCTCAGCAAAGCTGGACGATCCTGACATAATTTCCCCGTTATGATGCGCTCATTTTTGTTCCCTTGAAACCCTGCGCCCGCCCAGCGGCCGGGGATAAAAGGCGGGCAGCGCCGCAGGGGCTGAGCATCGTGCAGAGGAGAGCCCAGCAGCCCCCCAGCTCCAGCTCCAGCCCCGCTCGCGACTCCCTCGGCCCCCGCAGCACCATGAAGGTCCCCGCAGCCGCCCTGGTCGCTCTCCTCCTCGTGGCCGCCTGCTCCCCGTCCGAGGCCCATCTCGGTGAGTCCGGCATCGCCGCG